GCCTTTCAAGTAGCCAGCAGACTAATCCATCGACAGGGAAAAGTCAAACTGCCAAAGTAATGAGAACACAACCATATAAAACCCCTCACTATGACCAAGTCCAGCCCCAGAACAGTCTGACGGAGGACACTGGGATCTTGAACCATAACTACACTCACTTGCAGGACCACACTTTTCTCCAGCTTTTATAAGTAATCTGTGACCTGAAGAAGGTTATACTCAGAAGTTCACTTACAAGTTGACTGCTTGGACTTTACATGTAAAAAGCCTTTCGTACAAATGAGCCAAAGTGAATTGCACTTAAGAGTGGTGGTCTGAACTACTTAAAAGATAAACATGGTTTACTTAGCTTGAGAAGGAAATGAACTCTGAGATCGAAAGGGTGGAGCTCACTAAGGCTGGTAAAGGAACGGTCAGCCTCCACTCACCACATTAGTAAAAGGTCACTGACTGCTACAACAATTTCCTGAAATGAGATTCCTGTATCTAAAGCTAATGTTTCTTACTCTCTGTTCCCAGTCTCCTACAGACAAATACTAATCTTTATATGTGTTCTCCATCACTCCTGAACCAAAGAAAGAAAAACAACCAGGCCTTCCTTCCCAGAAAGTAGAGAAAGACCCTGGGGAGGTAAAAAAGAAGGCAAGAAAGAGGCACTAGATTGGCTTGGTGTTCTCGGGATTAAAATGTACTAAAAAGCCAAATGTGTAGGCGTTTTCTTTTTATCAAAATGGTGACTTTAAAAAAATCTAAATCACACAAAACTCTTCCAGCAAGAACAGGTAAGGGCAGCCAAGAAATGTTTGAAACAGATGACAAAAGGACCTTGTCCACAGAATATTAAAATATTATTCAACTTCCAATAACTTCAAAGGGTGGTACTGGCAAAAGAACAAAGAGAAAGATCAATGGGACAAAATAGGAAGCCCAAAAACATAGTTTGGAATTCTGAGTATGGTGAGGATGGCATTTTGAAATGGGAGGCAAATGAGAGCTCACTCAACACACGGCGCTGAGACAATGTACTTTTGGAGGGAAAAGTGAGCTTCCCATGACCTACCCTTTCTAGAACCAGAAAAAAAAAGGTCTGAAAATCTCCCTAGGGCAGTAACTTTCTGAGCTTAAGAGGAAGGATCTAAAATCACAAAGGGATAGATTTTGCATTAAACATGTAATCTCTATCAAATAACTAAGAAAAAACAAAAATATGGAGAAAATATGAATTGCAGTAATTTAACTGAAAACACAAAAAACTCAAATTTCTACTACCTGTTGATAATTAGTATAAAAAATTATTTCACAGGAATATTTTTAAAATTTTAATTAGTTTATTTGTCGTAATACATATTTTATTTAACCTCCAATGTATCCAAAGCATTATTTTAGTAAGTAATCAGTATAAAAATTGATTTTCAATCCTCAGTACCACAAAAAATAAAAAAAATCGAGATATTTTACTTTTTTCCTTAAGTCTCTGAGATCTGGTGTGCACTACAGTAACACCACCATTCAGCCACATTTTATGTGGGTAGCAGCCACCCCAGTAGCTACCATGCTGGACAACACAGCTCCAGACCCATAGTCACATTTGAAAAAGGAAGTCTTATTTGAAGGCAACAGAATTGTGCGATTCTCTCTGGATTGCACTCAAGTGCTATTTGTTTATCCTGGGTTCTGGAGAATCGTATCATTTTAAAGTGAAATTACCTATCATACAAATAAATGTGCAGATGAGTCAAATTATTTTCTATATTCATCCTGACAACCCAGCTATTTCTCTGTCCAGCTTAAACACTCAAGTGGCTTCTCTGTTCACTTAGAATCAGCCCCCTCTAGCAGCTCTGCCAGCTACTAGCTCCTGTCCGCTCTTGCCCTCTCGCGTTCCTTTCTAAACCGGCGCCTGCCTTGCACCTGAGGCTCTGCCCTCTGCCCTTCTGCTTGCCACTGATATTCACAACTGGCCCCTTTTATCACATAGTGCCCATCATCAGTTAGGCACTACTGTCTGTCCCTCCCACTTGTAGTGCTGTGTCCCCAGGACTCTGAGTCAGGACCCACTCGGCTCCTGAATGTATGTGCTTTCTAAAGGGACGAATCCCAAGCACATCTGAAGGTTTTCATGAATCAGGATCACTCTTATGAACCTAACAGCTACGTGTCTATTCATGGTCTCAGAAGTCAGCTTTGGCTGATTTAGGATCTGCTAAACTTTTGAGGGTTGTTTGTTTTGTCTCTGCCACTTGCCTGCTTTTTGTTTTTTATTTCTTGTCTCCTATTAGTTGTCACTGCTCTGCCATCTCTTGGTGGCCACCACCCCAACTTTAACATATGGCAAGTCTAGAAGGTAAAAGTACATGAAGAGTGGGCTGTTGTATCATTAAAATGTAATAATTTCAGCGGGAACAGACATATCTTGGATTTTTCAAGGGCTTTTTAGCTACCTTCTAGACAGCAGACAGCAGCTGGCCCGAAGGGCTTGCTAACCACTAGTCCCTAAATCTGAAATGTGACATTTCAGTGTTGTCCTACAACACAACACCCCCATATTGAAAGTGATGGTACTTCATTCTTCCACAAACAAAAACAATAGTTTCATGTAAAATTGAAAAGGAGGGGCTGGGGAGATGGCTCAGTAGAGTAAGTGTTTCCCTGGCAAGCGCAAGGGCCTGAGTTCAATCCCCAGTTCCGCCAAAAAAAAAGGCTTTTTTGTTGTTATTTAATGATGTTTCTCTTAAGATAAAAAACTAATTTCCTTTTTAGGAGAAAAGTAAAACTGGCCACATTCAGCTCCAAACTAAGGCTCCCCTTGTGCTAGAAGATTCAGGATCAAGCGTAGTACTTTCCATGCATTACTGTACATAGAATTTCCAACTTCAGAGTTCAGTGTGGACTTCTGGCCCAGGCTGCAAAGTGGGACAAAACTATTATCATAAACTACACCCTATTCCTTCCATCTGAATGCAGGCCTTCCCTAAACGTTCCTTAAGGCTGAAATTGTCTACTGCCTTCTCCATTGCTAATTTAAGCACAGAGAGGCAGGCTCAGTGGTAGGGACCCTAACCTGCAAGGTAAGGCCACCAACAACTAGGTTCTTGGGCCACTTCAAATCAGAGAGATAAAGAAAAGGGCTGTGAGAAAGCTGAAGAACTGACTGGCTGGGAAGTGGCATGTCCCGGAAGTTTTCCCCTCTTAGAAAGACAGAGGTGTGCTTCTACCTTTCCCAAGAGCCTACAAATAAACAAACAAACAAGGAGGTGAACAAACAACGAGGTGAAGCCTTTTTTTTTTTTTTTTTTTTGGTGGAACTAAGGATTGAAGTCAGGCCCTTGCACTTGCCAGGGAAGTGCTTACTGCACTGAGCCATCTCCCTGGCCCCTATACTTGATGTTCTGACTTCTGGCGTTCTGGTGTCCTGGCGTCCTTTCTCATCTCCTGTTGCGTCTTTTCTCAGGGCCAGGGATGTATCAAGACTACTACAGTAATTGCTCCCAGAGCTGTGATTTCACATGGCCTGCCACCAAAGTGTAGTCATAGGGATTTTTTTTTTTTTTTTGCAAAACCATAAACAATTCAGCAAGCTTATCTTCCATTTCTAGTTTGAATAAAGAGTGTAAAATCTCAGGTAAGTCATGGAACACCTCCATGTGCAGGATCCCAAGTCACTGCATTAGCCTACACCCACACTGCCTGTATTCTAAGCTTTTCAGCAGCTCAGGATGTTCTTGGCAGAAGGTGGGCTCTGGCCTTTAGCACAAGGCTTAGGGGGTAAACGCTAGGAAGAAGAACGGAGCTGTTCCAAAGGCAGCCAGCCCTTCCCTACTGCTTTTTATTTTTCTTTCTTAACCTTTACTTCCTCCCTAAAAGGAAGCAGATACCTGTATACGCCCCTGCCCTTACAATGTCTAGTGCCTTAAAATTCAGACCAACACTGAATGCCCATAAAAGCTGATTTGCTAAAGGTACTGCTTATACACTAAGAACAAACAACAACTAGCAGATACCTGCTCAGCACCGACTGGTCTAAAAATTCATTCCCACAACATATGCGCTCTGAAATCATCCCCTACACTGGTTTTTTTGCGGCCAGATGAACTCCAAACTTGATCCACATACTAATCGTTTCTGTCCTTCTCATATATAAAGTTTCCACCCAGTCCCTTTACTGAGTCTTCAACCCTCTTACTTTAGACGTGCAGTACTCCAATACAAATCTGACTCTAACCATGCCTGCCACTCCAAAATCATCTCAGACTGCTTTGGCTAATCCCTTTGTTAATCCTGAACAGGACTGCTGCCACGTTTATGATTCATTTCGCCAACTAGAGCCCAGTTACTGGATAACATTTCGTACATCACTTTAACTGGGCTAATGGACACCGGAATGCAGTCTTCCACCGAATTGAACACGGGAACAGTCTTCCCCAAGGTCCTTTCTCTTCCTTCAACAGACCTGGTGTCATAAAAGGCAATGGGTACCCTCTTTCATTTACAGAAATACAATCTTAGTAACGATAAAACCTAAAGTAAGCTATGGAGGGGCGCCATCTAACTAATTTACAAGGACCCTAGTTTTGTGATGGCAAGATGCACATTCTAAAGGATCAAATTATTATCTCACTGCAACCGTTATCACAGGTAAAATACTATGCTGAGTTTTCCCACAACCATAGGAAGGAGGCAGCCTCGTTCAAGAAGGCCCTTTTAACAAAAGCGAAAGCTTACATCTGTGTGGAAAAACTCGAGTACCCCATGCAGGAGTAGGGCGGAGGCACCTCGCCCTAATCCGTCTGCCCAGCTAGCGCTCTGGAACGTAGCCCTCAACATCCCGCCTCTCACATCTGCCACCAAGCCCGGCACGGCCCGGGGCACCCGGCTCGCACAAGCAGCCCGGGAGCCTGGGCGTGGGAAGCGGGCCTGGGCGGGAGCCAAGGAGCACGGGTAGGGCCGCCCGCGGGGATGCTGGATGCTGATGCCGCAGGCGGCGTCCGACCGGGGCTCACCTGTAGGCGGCCACGGCGCGGGTCTGCAGGTATTTCTGGGCAGTCATGACTCCCACGAAGATAAAGTTCCCGTCGCGCTGGCCGCCATCCGGGCCCGCGCCGTGCAGCCAAGGCTGCGCCCCCCGCGCGTCGCCGCCGCGCGCCCCGC